GACAGAAAAAACAGAAGCGTGAAAGCAGTAGCAGTCCTTACTATGCTGCTTCAATAAAATGGGAAAAATTTTCTTGAATAGAGAGCTATCGGTTCTGCTCTTTTTCGGTTTTTATCTCATATGGGTTCTTTTAGTCATAGGGCAGTGGAAAATGCCCAGGTCTTCTGCTCTCGTTTTCTTTTTCTCCTTCAATCATTCGAGGCTTCAACGTCAAAAGTAGGACCATAAATGTACTTCACTGTCAAATGCATTTGCTCTAAAGTCCTGAGTTAAATGATTCCCTCTTGCTATGAGAGCAGAAAAGTTGTTTTTTTCCCCCTTATAAATGTGTCTATATATGGTCAAGTTTTGTTGAAGCTAAGGCTTTTGCTGCTACTACGTTTTACCAAGTTTATTGAAGATTCATTTGGACATATATGAGTGGAAGGGAACTCTGGGTCTGTTTGAATAGAGTAGTGTTATTTGAAATATTATTTGAAATAATTACTGTAACATTTTTTTGTGATGTGATGTATGTGAGATAAAAGGTGATTGGGAATATAAAAAGGTGAATTGGGAAATATTTATGATGCAAAAGAAATATTATTTGGGATAATTTGCTATTCGGTCATTTGCTTAAATATCTTGGGGTCCTTACATTTAGAAAAATTATTGAACCAAATGTCAAAAATGATGAAAATTATACATATATATTCCCTAAAAAAATTATAAAATTGTCACTATCAAATGAAAATTAATGCATCAAACAACATTTTCAAATCAAATTATCCTAACAATAATGAGATATGCTCCAACACTAAACTAAATACAAAAATATTTTACCCTTTAAATGATTGGACCACGGTGATGTCAAAAAGAACCTTTAGTAGGACTAAAGCAGTAAAAAAAAGGGAAACTTGAAAGACCTAAATATCTACTAAAAAAACTTTAAGCATGGACTAAATTGAGATTGTTAAAGTTGTTTAAGGACTAGTTTGGTAATTTACTATTTTATTATATTGTTATGAAAAGGAATATATAGTACATAATCTTCAAAATATATTTCTTGTTTGTTATCACTAAAAAAAATACACAGCATGCAATCATTTTGTTAACAATTGCCACTTAGACATTTCCCAGAAGAAAATTGGTAATTGCACTCTTCACAAGTAGAAGGATATGATTTGGTTATAAAATATTGTTGATTTCTTGCTGCTGAAGTGATCAAGCAACAAACTCATTAATCACTGTTCATTTCCTAGGCCAGGTATGGTTTGGTTGTGCTGCGGCATTGTGATTTTATGAAATTCTACATATTATTACTAGGATTATTCAATTATGTGTTCTAAGGGCAAAAAATAAGAGAGAATCTTGATATTTAGTTGTTTATAAAATTTAAATTTTTTTTCGTTAAAATTTCCTCAATTCAAGGGATGAATGATAAAGTTTAAATTTTATAGTGGACTCACTCCCTATGTTTTGTGGAAAAAAATTTATTTATTTTCCCATTTAGGAATGTGGTATCTTGAACCGTATTCATCACAATTTTAAAGTGTATTTTATCCTAACAAATCTCATTGTCACTAATTCACAGAAAGGAAAAATAACAAAATGTTGTGAAACTAAGAAAATAAATCATAATTTTCGCAAAATCCATCTTCAAATTTATCTCATTCATTTTTCTCACACAATTTTCATAAAATCACAAAGGTTGATAAAAGTAGTTGAAATTATAAGTTTTGTCTGAGGGTAAATAACAAAAAAGCCCTTTGTGATAAGCCTAATATACAGAAAAACCCCCCATGCTTTCAAAATGTACAAAACGACACCTCATGTTTTAAACTAAATTGTAAAGGTGACGGAATCTGTTAAAATTAATGGAAATGACTTATTGGAACCTAAAATTTTTTTTTTATACCTAATTTTTAACAAATATACATGTTCTACCCTTTAGCCCACAATTCTCTCTCTCTGGAGAGCGAAACAAATGATTTTGTTGATATGTCTTTTGCTTAGTTATATCAAGGCATTTTTGTCATTTCATCTGTCCCAGTTAAATTTAATGGATTCTGTCACTTTACAATTTAGTTCAAAACATGAGGTGTCGTTTTGTACGTTTAAAAACTATGCGAAGCTTTTTTGTATATTAACTTTATCACAGGGATTTTTTATTTTTTATTTTTCACCCTTTGTCCAATGAACTCGAGTATAAATCCCATAAATGCCATCTTAGAACTACACCATCACTCTCCTTGGTGTTTTCCTTTGCTTTTAAGATAATAAAGATTCTTCTATTTTGTGCTTTAAAGACACAGGCTTAAGCATAAAAAAGCAGACCCAATATTTAGTTATCTGTAAAAGTTTAATTTGTTTTGCTAAAGCTTCTTTAATTTAAGGATAAATGATAATGTTTAAAATTTACCGTAAATCCATCCCTATATTTTGTATGCTTATTCTGTACCTTAGACAACATAATAGAGAAAAAAAAACACATAATAATATACTACTACTATACTATCAATTGAATATTGGCATAATGTCGGCTTATGGGAATTTGAGAATACACTATTGATTGTTCCGTTACATTAGAATGTGAAATGATTCTACATCCTCGTGCATGTAACACAAACAAAATCAATACGTTTGAATAAACAACGCCACAGGTAACTTGAGAATGGAGAGAGCGCTAGCAATTGTCTCAATCTTAACCCTACACGGGAACCAGAGATTTGATGTGTTTATATATATCATTATATATAGCAGTAGTAGTACCATTCATAAATTGTCTTTGGTATTAGCTTTTCTCTTCTTGTTATCTACCACAAAGACAAACAATAAAGTATAAACAACTTTGTTTATCCATACACATGCAGTGGTTAGTGTGCTGCTGATCTTTCCCCTCGCATATGAAAACAAACACGAACAAAAATTAAAGGAACAGAAGGGGAATTGCCCGGACATGGTTTCTTGATTAATATACATTCAACTTTCGAGGAGTTATAAAGCTTGGAACAGGTTCTAAGTACAGTATCTCGTGTTTCTATGGACACACGTGAGGCCCACTCTAGCATCTTGCATGCAATACAACAAGAAGATTTTGGAGGATCAAAATTGGGAGGATCGCAAATTTTAAAGTTTTGCACAAATCCTTAAAACTTGTTCGATATTTGGGCTTAGCAACTTGATGATATTTTACGGGGATATCATAAATGGAAACCATATGCTGTTTTAATTTCCGGGTTAATTCCACTTTGTCCCCCCAAATTTTGGACGATTACCCACTTTAGTCCCTAAACTTCAAAATGAGACACTTAAGTCCCTAAAACTTATAAATTGGGACACTTAAGTTCCTAAACTTATAAAATGGGACACTTAAATCCGTAAACCCTTATAAAATGGGACACTTTGACCACCACGGCATTCAGGATTCTGTTAACAATTTTCCTTAATTGGGAAGTATTTATAAGTTTAGGGATTTAAGTGTCCCATTTTGAAGTTTAGGGACTAAAGTGGGTAATCGTCCAAAGTTTGGGGGGGCAAAGTGGAATTAACCCTTAATTTCAAGACTGAATATATATAGTCATTATTGTTTAAAAAAAAGAAAAGAAAAACTAACTATATTCATGTAATCGAACCAAGAAACTGAAACTAAGAATTGATTCTTGTGAATAATTTTTCTGCTCCGTAAATCTCTTTGCCTCAAAGTCCAAATTGGACTCTTGTGCTAACGAAGGGAGCCCTCTTCAGGTTTCAATCACCACCAGCAATCCACTTGCTTTTCGAAATGATTATTTGCACCAATATATGTTAAATAAAGTTTGAGAAGCATAGTGATTTCAGGTTTCATCATTTGATATCATTTGCTAGTTTTTGTTCTGACTGAGTCGTCACATTTGGAGACACTACTGTTAATCCATTACAATTACATATCTTCCTACAAATTTTGCCAAACCTTTAGCAGATGGAATTTGCATAGAGTTGGACAAAATGCAACTACATGGTAAAAATGAAAGAATAAAGTCGTGAAATACAACCATGGAGTAAAAAGATTTTATGCATGCTTGAATTAGTAGGTGGCCGAAATTGTCACCTATGCCCATATCAAGGTCAGCCATTAAACTTCGGCCCTATTTGGCACTTGAGTTTTTGTCAAGTTTGTCTGTTACAAGTTTTTAAAAAACTTTAATTACAGTAATCTCAAAAAATTTCTTAAAATTTTTAAACTATACATTTCAAAATATTCAAAAATTTACACACTTCAAAAATTTTTTTAAATACTTCCACAGTAAGTTACAGTAAAGTTTTAGACAAACACCCAAAAAACTTACTTGTCAAACGGGCCTTCGTTTGTAACAGGACACTGCACTTGTAAGTTGAAGGCCAAAGTCCTTGGATCCAATGATCCAAGAGGCCAGATGGACTGGTCTAGGTAATGAAACAGCCAAAGCCGAACATTTATAGTAGACAAAGGTGTAGGAAGCAATTAAGTGGGGTAGAACTTTTGGGCAGAATAAGATTTCTGTGCTCCATATATTTTCAAATAATGGTAAACATACTCTGAAACTAAGCCATATCTAAACACCATCTAGTTGATGAAGAGCCTTAAGAGCAAGTACATCAAAATCTCGAGTTCCCTTAACCAAAGTAGATCAGTTCCTAAGCAAATAGTTACTTTCTAGCAAAGCAGTTGAATTTTAACATCCTCCATGAACCAAAATAGCCCTTCCCTTAATAGGCTTAAAGTTGCTGCTTATTAGTTTCATTTGATTGCTTGATTATCTACACCGGAAACATTGAATCGAAGACGTCATAATCCATTTATCTCCAAAGCAAAGTATTTGGCACATTATCGGCATTGCCGAGTGACACCCAAAGATCAATTGGGCTTGACAAGCCAGAAGTGCGCAACACTTTCTGTCTATCTCCATGACAAAGGATTCCACTAGAAAACAACGTCATGGGCTTCAAGCCTAGGTCTCTAATTAATAGACGGTTTGATAATATGCATGGATAACCAAACATTGAAGGAAAATCAGGAAAAGAAGAGAAAATTTGGATTGTAGGTACAATATATATATACAACCTATAAATTCTTTCTTTTTTTTTCTGTCGAACCTATAAATTCTTTCAGTTTCACAAAATTTGATACATTCATGAAGCTATGTAAAATATACGTGTAACCCCACTTGCCTGCTACTACTAAACTATGAACCTTTTGGCACCACAAAACTTTACAGAGCTCAACTTGCATCTGTTCGTGTTAGGTAAGTCTGTCTGCTATAGGAAGCACCAAATCGAGCCCTGGAGTGTGGTAAACTATTGTGCATATATTGCACAGAGCATATGTGCTCGTTGATCCTGCTGTCTTACAACTATGAAGAGACTTCGGGTTGAGGAGCTATACAGTTTCATCAAAAGAATTGTATTAGCCTGCGATAGAAAGGAGAAAAATCAGCTCCCCCTACTAATCAACTCAACGATGATTCACTTTAAAAAGCTCAAGTTCATAATTGTACAAAAATAAGCATTTCAAGATTTTGATGTTTTGGATTGTTAAGCACGAGTAAGTACTTAGGATACGTCGGAGAGTGAAACAAACAATAGCAGATATTATTATTTTAAGATAAACTTAGCCAAGGATAAAGGTAATTTACCTGATTTTACAGCATATGGAGGTCAAACAGATTATGAGTTAGCTATTGCCATGGCTGGGACAATGAGACAGTAGGTGTTGATGCATTTAGACCTTGTTTACCATGTATAGCAGACTTAAGCACGTTATACTGTTCGTTCACAGAATCATACAATGCCTGCGTATAAGCTGCCTTATTCTGCAATAACAATAAGATGATCTGTTATAAAAAATTCAAAAATTGGGAGTGCTAAACTGACATAACATAGGATCCAGAGAATATCTGAACCTCAGGATTCTACTCAAATATTAGAAAACGAGATCAAGTGAAATCATGCATTGCGGTGAAAGAATTACATAATAGCCATTGAGACCCCCTTTATCATCTCGCTTTCTGTTCTGCTCTAAGTTCTATGCTCCTAAGACTTTTCCTTTCCAGTAGATAGTCATGCCAAGTTAAGATGGAAAATATTGCAGTGCTCACTCTAATGCATGATTTAGAATATGTACAAGTTTTTCTTAAAAACAGTTATTGACTTACAAGGTCTGAGGTATTGGAGAAGAAATGCGGGATAAATATGAAGACTGTTATTTTGCCTTAATGAAGTGCAAAGAGAGAGAGAGAGAGAGAGAGAGAGAGAGAGAGAGAGAGAGAGAGAGATCAATTTCCAAACAGACCAGTCTGAAGGATACAAGAGAGACTGTGTCTATGCAGTGCATTTAAATTTCTTATATTCGTATCTGACTAAACATAAAATCTACAAGCAAACTCATTTGACAGACACAAATTACCAAAAGAAAAGGCTGGCAGTTAAGATTTAAGCTAAAAACGAAACATGGCAAACAAACGTCCAGGGACAAACAGAATTCAACTGACCTAATGAACTTCAGTCATACTTGATGCAACTAACCTTTTCAGGGTCTTCCAAGGAAGCAGCATGGAAACCGATTTCTGGTGCCACTGACAATCCAACCCCATGGAATGATATCATTCTTTTCTCCCCAATTTCTTTTTCCACCTGCAAAAAGAAACTTTAAGTCAGATGAAATCATCAACAACAAAATATCAAATGCAAAATAAAAAGTTACCTTTGGTGGAGGGGGCATGATATCATGACATAATATTGCCAAGGGATATATGTGACCAGGAACACCAGCATGTTCCACAAGCCTTCTCATGTTGTCCACTGAGGAAACGTCAAAGGGTGCCTAAAAAGTGACATGTAACTATTAGACAAGTGTGATTGGAAGAAGCTGGTGCAGATGACTCAGGTTATTGTAGGTTGGAATTTGTTTAATGAAAGCACGCAGGATGAGGATGAAATGTAAAAATTGCAAAGCATGATTGCTTTTCCCTCTTTTCAATATATTCATATTTGAGCTTAATTTTGTACATAGTTGGTCCTTGATTACATAAAGAGTAAAAAGAAAACCTATACAACTCTTGACAAAGACCTTCAAGGGAAGTAATGCCAAAATGAAAAACCAATTACAACTCTTACACAAGACAATTGTTTGATAACTCATAGAAAGTATAAATCATGAGAGATAACCAGGGTTAAACGTCATTAAATATGGTTGGGATATATTTATGTCAAATAAATAGTTGAAATCAACTGTTAGAAGCATTGCCAATGAGATTGTCAATAAAGAAATTAATAGCAAACAAAAACCAAAAAAACTTGACGAAAATACCTTTTCTGCAGAAACTTTGCTAAGAAGCTATATATGCTTCTGGTGTGTCACTTAGTCAACTTAACAAACTATTTAAATATGCGTGATGATAACACCGATATCCTAGTTCTTCTTCTCTATGGGGACATACACAAAAGTATATTAATCAAGGATATCAAATCTTCTTTTTACACCGGCAAGTTGGTTTTTAATGCAAAGACTTCATTCCAAGTAACTTGAGTTTTTTATATCACTAAGTGGTAGGGTTCAGAAACCAAGTATACCCTCATGAATTGACTCTTCCAAATGACTTTACCAACAAGCAGTTTATCAAGTCTACAGGAATCCCTTGGAGGTGTCAAGTTTCAAGTCAAAAGTAAATGAGTGATGGAATCTCCTTACTGGATACCACTCTCCTGAAACAGGGTCTGGGCGGTCCCTGCCACCACTTGGTGCAATCCAGATTATTGTTGATCCACCCCTGGGATCAAATAAAGTTAGTCTTTGTGTAGACTTAGTGCTACATTAAGAAATCAGAATTAGGCCTAACTGTGCAAAGGAACTAAGAAATTAAAAGTGCAATTACCAAAGTGAGAAGAGAAAAATTTCCGGGGCAAAACAAATGAAGTCAATACTACTAATTGTATATCAGGATAAAGAAGCTCAGAATAGTTTCAGATTTTGCCTCCTAAAGGTCCAGAACTGGTGAAACTACAGTCAAATGATTTTAAGTGGAAACATAAGGTCCAATGATTGACATTAGAACGTGGTTGTGATATACAACAATAGAAAAGCTTAAGCTTTGAAATTCTTTAACGTCATTAGAACTTCAAAAACAAACTATTGATGTTCAGTCCAAGGCTAAGATAGTGTAATCTGCATGCCCAGTTCACCTGTTCTAAGATCATAAAATGACCAGAAAGATGTTGCCAGTCCTATATCCGACTGAACTAATCAAAACCAAAATGGCAAAGGGAGCAATTTAAAAGTAGCATATAATACATAAATTTGCTATATACGCAAGATCATTATAGGAATTTAGAACCTGTAGGTTTTAATACTAAACAAATCATTCTATGGAACAAATGCCACATATCTGTACCTTTTTACTTGGTAAACAACTGGCAATTGATGAAGCCAAAAAGAGGATGCTGGGTGTCACTAAACCAATAACGTCACATCTATATTGTTCCACAACAAAGAACAGCCTTACTAGAATAATGGATTAAATACGACAATGGGGAGTCTGAGTTTAAATGGGACACACAATGGTATCATAGCCAAGGCATTTGACAACGTCACATACACTAGGAAGATGGACAATTGACAACTGGACTTAAAGATTAAAGACAACTTTTAAATGAATTTGGAACTTCACATAATTCAGACAATTGCTTCTTAACGAATAAGCCAGTATACCTCAGAAGCAAAGCCATATCTTTTAAGCTTTTTGTGTTTGCTCTACGTTTCATCTCAACCAGCTCAGGATCATCATTCATGTGCTTTTTTGAATAAACACATAACAGATTCCTGAAATGTAGAAAGCCAACCAACTTTAAATCATTTCAGAAGGAACAAGCACATTTATCAATACAAGCTTCTTTAAAGTAAATATAAATTCACCTTCCCATGCTAAAGGGCTTGCAAAGAGGATCAGTAATAACTCTATCCCCAGCCACATAGATCTGTGATGCACCATAGAAACGTTGGTTTTAACAGATTACTCATAGCAGATATGAACAGGCTTTTACTTTTAGTCTCAGATTATAGATAGATTATTTCACCATGTTCTCAGCAAGATTAGGATTTGTTGATTCCAGCAGCAATGCAATAACAGCTGGATCTGCTTCAGTCTGGTGGTTAGACATCAAGACAATGTTGTCACCCTGAAAATGCAATCCAAAATACAGAATTTTTATTTTTATTTAGGACAGAAAGCTGCAGAATACTATTTATCATATAATTAAGTAATTTCAAACAGATAAATAATGATCAAATACGTTCTTAGTTACACGTCCACAAAAAACACAGGCCAAAGAAAGGTTAAGGGAGATAAGGCTACAGCACTCCAACTTTAGGTTAAGCAGCCATCTCCTGCACTTAATCTCAAACCAGGTCAAAAAACAAAAGGGGAAAAAAACGGCAAATAGAACCTTGTTCCCCAACCCCATGTTAATATGATATCTCAACCATTAGCAAACAAGAACATGTAAACTATGAATGATTCCCATCCAGCTTTTTTAAGCCAGCAATTTTACAACCTAACTTTTCAATGGTCAGACTTGTGCTTGGGCACAGGTAGCATCATCCAGTAATGTTGTAATTTTTCATTCTATATCAACAAATCAAAATGAACTACAGAATCAAAAGTAAAAGCAGTATCTAAAGCCCCCCAAAACAAAAATATTACTTCATCCCAAATTTTTCGTCGTGTCTAGAGAATCATTTTTTTTTTCAACAGTACTGAAATGTTGCTTTGTTTTCTATACTTACCCTTCAGAACATTGTAAGAAATGCCCTAGGTTGAATGAATTTCCTGTGTTAATTAACAAGCTACCAATGAACCAAGCGTAGTTGCACACTCGACTGATATTAGAGCTAGTGTAATTCGTGGGGACCATGAGCATTCCATGCAATTCTTTATCAGATCACCATCAGATGAAAAGGAATGCACGGAAACACACTCCTTTTGCCATCACATGTTCCAAGCTGGTGAGTTTCATGCACAATTTCTTAGCAAAAGTCAAAAGAATTATGATGGGCCAGCAGCTCATTTTAAATGAAGGGTAGGAATGGAAATTAGATGAGAAATTTTTATCATATTATAGAGTGGCTGTATTTGGACAGACCAAAATAGAAAGTATGACACCTTAGTGGGATGGAGGGAGAAACAGTTACACTCTTACCAAGTACTTTTACAATTTCTCTCCAAAAACAATCTATTCTGTTATATCTTTTTTTTTCTTTTTATCATCTTATTTTTCATGGAAAGTTTCTTCTACTGTTTCTCCTACATGTTACTCTTATGCTACAGTTGGGTGAAATGTAAAAGAGAAGGACGGAAAGTAAAGCTAGATCTAAATGCTCAACTTTCCTTCTATTGCAAGCAAGGAAACTCGAGAAAATATGGAATTTCATTTTCACTGCTTTCCAATTATTTTAACTCTTTAACAGTTATGGATCCAACTGAGGGATGACAATCAGAAGCATAAAGAATGAAAAATGCACACACAAGCACCCATACACAAACCAGAGAGAGAGAGAGAGAGAGATCTGGAGACATGAAGTGACTCTAAAGCTGGAATTTGAATAATAAATCCTCACCAACCATGAAAAGGAGGAAAAATAAAAAGCAAATGCACCTGAAGAAGCTTGTCTCCAATTTCATTGAAAAGAGAAATGTTTCCAACATAAGAGTTCCTGTAAAGCGATAAATTAGTGATTTTGCTTATTCCATGGACCTCTAAAAAAAAGAAAAAAATGAATAAGGTGACAGAGACTTCATACGAGTCCTAGAAATAAATCAGAATTATATAGGAAACTGTACAACTGAGGGTTATTGCAGAAGAGGAAACCGCACAAGATATGTGACTTGGCAATTAATCTTGAAAATTGACAACTCAACAAATAAGATACTTGCTAAAGAGACCAATAACCAAACAGGATCAACTATCATCTTTCACCTAGAGGGAATAGACAAAGTGTCCTTCCAAAAAAAAAAAAAAGTTGAATCTTGTTAGTCCTTAAATATCCACTTTGAACTAGCCTCCACCTCCTTTTTTCTAGCACTTAGCCTATGCCATCTCCTATCAGTAACTGATCTATCAGATCAAAGCTCCTGTTCAAAACATATGCACTAGATATTCATGATTACAAATATAACTTTTTACCCAATCCCACACAACCACACAATCACTTTTTCAACCACTGAACAAAAATCATCTCTACTTCTTTTTCTTTCTTTATGAAGGATGCTTTACGGTTTCCATTACTGAAAAAGCCAAGCAAAAAGGCAGCAGGAACTGTTACACAAATAAATTAAATAAATGATTTTTTTTGGCAGGCTATTGTTGTTGTTGTTATGCAGGGAAGGTGGGTTTTAAAAGCTGGGAGGGGGAAAGGAGAAAACTAAATGCCTGTTTCTTTATCTTCTTTTGAAAATTTCTTTTCTTGTTTTACCTTTACTCTTAAGCAATCTTTTCCTATGTAGCTTTCTTATGGAGATGAGCAGGATAAAATGGCCGTAAAATACATATGAAAATATAGCATTTGTAGGTTAAAATCTTTGTGATAAAAACTTAAGCCCTCATTCTTCCAGAAAAGAAGGCTGAAAGGAAATATGTAAGATAACTGAAAAACAAAATGATATTCCAATTTGACAGAAGGTAATGGCTGAGATGCCAATAAATCTCCCTATGTACTGTTTCTTGCTTCCCCTCAATGAACCCACTAAACAAAAGCTTGCTTGATCTGCTGACAGAAAAGCTTGACACGAATCTGACATACCATCTCCTCCTTAAGAGAAAGATCTAAAGCTCTCAGATGGAAGGATCTTACATCCTTCTGACCCAAACTCGAAAGCCACTCCCGTCATGGAAATCATCTACCAACTCATCTAATACGCAATACCAATGTCTAACAACTAGTGCTTTTCTCTCTTGCTTACTGGTAAATGCTCTCGATCTCACCTCACGTTGTCAAGTGTTATTGACCAAACCAGGTGATAACTAACTGACCTCAGTGTTTACATATGCCTACATGTACCTTCTTATCCTTACCATAACAGCCCCAAAGGAGAGAAGGGGGGGGGGGACACATTAGGAATCATATAAGTAATCAGCCATGGAATATGAAGAGACGACAAGCAATGAAAGCTCAGTTTGTTTCATGTACCACACTTTATCTCAAAGTTTGATGTCAAGTGGGATTACAAGGAATTATCCAGTTAAAGGGGGAAAAAAAAAAAAAAAGGTAACCAGCCAGGTCACTTGGTTGAGATGAAGTTATACAAGAGATTACAGGCATCCAACTGCATACTCAATTCAGATAACAGTTTATTCTCAGAGCTATTTCAAAAGTTGGACAAAATCTAGCATAAAGCAAAAAAAAACTTACAAACACAAAGCATATGGCTAAAGACTTAAAAAAGAGAAAGGAAGAAAGAAAGAAAAATAAGCCCGCAAGTTAAGAATTTCAAAGTTTTAACCCCAGTTGCTGGTAGTCATTTGCAGACAGAAAGCATTAAAAAAGCAAATTTGACCTAAACTGGGGTACACCAGCTATGGGACTTGAATTTCAGGCTGCAGTCAAATTTTATTTGGCATAGCCTAAGCACATTTCCATCTATGGAGATTTTTCCTAACCCAACAAAGAGAAGTACAGCCACTCTACTCACTCCTGAATTACAGTAAACCAGACATCCTCAGTAAAATGACAAATAAAAGAAATAAAAGACTCGCCTGAAGTCAATCAAGGGGCGGATATAATTTTGACCAAACATGTAGTAGTCAAAAGGTTCTCGAATAGCTTTGTGATAAGATGAAAAATCAAAAGGATCCTGAAAGTGGATGCCAATCAACAATTATAACAAGGAAATCCTAAAATTGCAAATAGTACAGCATTAGATGATACCGTTCTTACCTTGACATCCATGAAGATGCGATCAAATGCCAAAGCCATATTAGATAATACAATCTCACGAGCTTTGGGATCTCCACTTTGGTAAACCTGGAGTGAAAGTATCATATATGAATCACGAAATAGCAAACATTCGAGATAGTTATGAACCAAACAAAAGAAAAGCACAAGACTATACTTGAATAGACTGTACTTAAAGGATAGTCAGCATGGTTCACCACCATTTTCCACTCAATATTGCACAAAATCAAATTAAGCATAAACAAAATTGTTATCAATGTAAAAGGTGTGCATGCACTTAAATTTAGAAACATTACAGATATTATTGGAAAAAATAGCCAGTCTTTGAAGAACTCATACTACCATTGATTGCTAATTTGCCAGGAAAAAGAGAGTTTTCACTAATGAAGCAGTATAAGAATGTCGCAAATAGTATCCCATTCAAGTTATCCAACATTTATGTCCATATAATGATTAGAAAACAAGATTGTTCAAGGGAAAAATAATGCCATAATCTCATGCAATGCTTGTAAGAACATCAATGTATATATTTGACATGAAATCAGACGTAGGTAGAACTGCCTAGAAATCAAGTAATCGAAGTTTCACAGGATACAATGTGGAATGCCTTGAAAGACATCATTTAAATCAAGAAACAGCCCTACAACCAGGCAAATGAGCCCAAAAATGAAATGATAAATTGCTTTCCAAGACTTGGAGTTATTCTAATCTCATATAAACCATTTTGGATCATATGCTTTAAAGTTGTTGTAGATTAACATCACAAGTATCCAGAAATGGAGAAATATCAACAACCAACAGTGAAGAAAAAAGTCAGCTGGATTGAACACCTTCACAAATGTGCAACGAGTAAAAAGTATCATAGAAACCATTGTCATATTTGACAAAATATTCTACACCCAAATGAAAGATCAAATTGCAAGTACAAGAAGATGAATTTACAGCATTCCGGTAGTTCTGATACAACTCCTCCATGCCTTGAGTAACATTCAGAGGCAACCTTCCAGATTCTGCTGCTTTTCTAATCCCAGAAAGTAGATCTGTAAAGCAAGAAATGGAAGAAAGTTCAGCATGAACCACTATTGTACAAAAGCATTTTCACTCTCAACTTCTATTACTCTGACAGGTAAATACCAGGAAAACATCAGATAACGCCAACCATAGTTCCAGTGTAAAATCACGGGTTTCCATAGTTGCAATCTAATATCAAAGGTTTCATTTTTGAGGTAGGAGAATCAGGCCATTACAATACGACACCCCCCCCCCCCAAAAAAAAAACCCCATCATGGCCATGGGGGGAAACAATATACAGCATTTATGATAAATTGATGTAATTATTTTCAGTTGTAAATAGTAAATGCCCTTGTCAATTTCAGCTATGACTCACATTTTGGCAAAAAGCATTAGTTTTAGGGAGGCTGTATTGAATCCAAGATGATTCCATTGCTATAACACACTTCGTGTAAAGCAGCTGCATCAGTTGCTTACATTTATGCTTCATGAATAAACCACAACTCCTTACAGGTAAAGCATGTATGGAAGTACTTTGGATGTTTAACAATGTTTTCAGCCTTAAATAAGTGTTTCAAAGGAATGCGCTTTAACTAGTTTCGTCTTTCCTTACTGTTATACCCATTCTACTGAAGTAAAAACTTTTGACATCTTATAAAACAAAATTATATAGCTCATCCTGTATCCAAATCTATTGTAGTTAGACTTTGGATATGCAAAATCTGATCCCATGGTTAAATGCAACTATACAACAGTATGCAATTTGAGACATTAGTGAATCTTCTTTCCCCTTGCTACTATATGAAGCTATCATCTTGCCATACAACAGCCAATGTTTCATGCCACCTTTGCATACTCTCAAGAATATGAAGCAGTTGGCAACTCATTCGTCTAGAGTTATCTCACCCCACGCATTTTTCATCCAAACTGGGTATGGTGATGGGAACTAAGTTCAAGATACAGAAAAGGACAGCCCCTTCCTACTTTCTTGGGTGGCAGAAGAAGTGCAAGGTGGCAGATTATGCAGAAAGTCACGAATAATGCAGAATTTGCATGCAGAAAAACAACACATAAATTGTAGATTAGGCATATCTGTTTACTGTAGAACTCCTACTTTTTAATTTTGCTGGAAAAACAATAGCAAAACTTACAAATTTCATTAGGCCAAAAAAAAAAAAAACGAATACGGTAAAGCTTCTCTTGATCTGAAAAATACCCACACATGATCATAGCTGAAATCTTCTTCACATAGGAAAGAATAAAGAAATTGAAATAAGAACCCCATGTAAAAACTTTAAATACATTCTGAAAGCAATGGCTATGGTCATCATTGTACTTTAAAATTTTTTGGACTAGAAGATTGAAAAAGAAAAATAGAACCCTTATAACAAGTAGAGTATCAACCAGAAACAAAATGGAAAAAAAACAAGAATAGTTGAGTATTATATTTCTCAGTCCTAACAAACTGCCACGTGACATAGAAGGGCACAGAACACTGTCTTCCACTAATTGACTACGGACAACTATCCAACGTAACTTAGATGTCTCAAAACTGCAAGCCCTGGGTATTATTACAGCACCATTCAGTCCAAATTCATAAAGCATCTTGATTAGAATGAAGGAAAAACTGCAGCTCATCAAGAATTTACAAGAAATCAGCACGAACAACAAATTAAGAGCCAGGATACCTCTAGACCGTCATAGCAACCAAACATGGGATCATTCAACTACAAAGGCAAAGGAAAAAAAAAAGAAACTCAAACAAACATATTTACAAACACATTTACGAAGAAATGTAACGTCATGTGCACAATGCATACAACCAAAACTGAATTTTTAGCAAATTGTAAAAATTCAATACCTGCAATCAATCATTTCCACTTTCAACGATAAAAATTTTAAAATGTACAAGAAACACATTATACCTATAGGAAGTGGCTAAACTTGATAATTACACATGCAAGAGTGAGTTCGTGTGTTTCACACACACACATCTTTATTTTATTTATTTGAATTATGTATCTCGTGATATACACAGCAACTGAAATACAAGCAACGTATTCGCTGGTATAAGCAGGTGCACATACAAATTAAGTTCGTCAACACACGAATTAGATTGATTAACAAATTACACATATGTAAATTTGTTAATATATATGCAGATAAATGCATTAAGACACTCACGCAGGAAGAATAAAAAAAAAAGAAAGAGCGAAAGTGTATGGACCAGAAGCGGACCTTCTTCAGTTCGGAAATCCACGAAATTCAGCGAGAGCGAGAGCTCCGAGACGGAGCAGCTAGAACTAGAACCGGAAGCAGCCAACGCCTCCGCAGCTGCCGTGGCGGAACCATTCGTCTTATCGCCACCAAAAATCTCCGCCATTCCTCTCACCGACTTAGCCGAAGGGCAGAACTCTACAGAACTGGAAACCTTTACTGAAAAAATTGAAGCTGCTCTCCAACTTGAACAGGCCGGAGAAGAAGCTCGAGCTGCCCCCGCCGCCGCCGCCGCCGCCGAAGTGAAGAGGCTACAAGGAGGAGGAGCAGAGAGGATCACCATGGAGACAGAGTAAAGAGTAGAGATAGAGAGAGTGAGAAAATTTTAGAGAGAGAAGGGAAAAATTATTCCATATAAGAAATAGTGGTTCTTATTGTTGAAAGCTTGATATGGAGGGTGTGGGGTCCGCGTGGGGTCGGAGTAGGATGGTGGGGGAAGGGGAATAATTGGGTAGGGGTGAGTGCGTGGTGATTGATGGTAGACGCACGTGCTTTTTATCTCCCAATAAAGACGTGGAAAAATCCGATGGTGATTGATTTTGAGGGGAGTGGAGCTTGGTGAAGTCTTATCCTGACACGTGGCACTGATGAGAGGAATATAGGTCTGATCGATGTATATCCTCTTTACGCTATCCATTTTCCTTCCATTTCTTTTTCCTGGGAAGAGCAGTAGAGCGCTAGAGCGGTTTTTTCCGTTCTTTATTTTGAAATTTTATGAAGTAGTCCTTTCAGTTTTGGAATTTGCAAATAATATAAAAAACTTTAGTGTGCAATTAATTGTTCAATTGAAAATTATCTGGAAAATCATAAGAAAAGAAGCTAGCACATATATGGAATGATGGATACATTTTGATGACTTCTTTTTCTGTTTTTTGGAATTATGTGTTTGACAAGAAGTTTCAAAGTGGACAAAAAGGTTTGATTAAGTCGCTGAGATTCAATAGATTATGTTGTTTCTATTTAATTCAAGCAAAACTTCGAGAAAATTTTTTCGACCAAAATTAAAACTTTTAAGATCAATTCAAGTTATCAAAGTTTATTATGACTCTTTCGATTCAACTGTGACTATAGTTTTTTTTTTCTAACTTAACACAAAATAGTCCTTAAATCGATTTTAATTGACTAATTTAGTTTAGATTTGATAACGCTTTTCGTTGGTGAGAGTAATTATTTTTTAAGCTTGTGGGGCTCTAAAATACAAAATGTATTTGCTAAGAAGTATATGGGTAAGTCTTAAATAACCACAAATTTGGTAAGCATAAAGTTAAGAAGAAAACAATTAATACTCTTCTTACATTAGTGGCCAAATTATGTGCTGTGTACTTTTGTGATTACAACATTACAAAAGTCTAACATCAATGATGTTAAACTATACTAACTATTTATCTATTTGAGATTGCGTAATTAAGATGGCAATGTGCATAAATCATTGTGTTCAAACAAGTCCTAAAAGATGACGGGAGTAAAGAAGCACAAACAAATCAAGGCCAACTTGACGTTGACTAATTGAGACTTCAGACCAATTTGGGATTGGAGTGTTTTTAGTAGAAAATTACTTTTAGATGTTAAAAGTATTTTTAAAGTGTTTGGTGAACTTTAATCCATAAAATTAGGAGTCGATCTTTTGATGTTAAAAGCACTTTTAGCAAAAACTCAAATTTTGTGCTTTTAGAGTAGTTTTTGTGATTTAAAAAATAAAACACCAAATTTAATCATTTTATCCTATATTATGAACTAAATAAAGAGATAAATTTAATGATTTTATCCTATATTACCACAAATCTTGTTTAGTGATGCTAAATTTGTTAATACTAGCATTTAGTACTATTTATCAAATAATTTACCACATATTGGTTTGTCATTATATCATTTTGGGATCGATCTCACCAAAAAGTTCAATATTTATAAACGCATATTATTATCTAATTATTGAACCATGGCTCTCTTTGGATTAGTGACTTTTTCACAAACAAGTTTTTCCAATACAAATGTTACAATAACACACTCTCAAGAACACCTAATATATGCAAATCTCAAATACAACTAAAAAAATAAATAATTAATGAGAAAAAAACCCATCGCCTCTATCTTTTTTCACCCACCACCATCGGCCCTCTCCTTCCTTCTCTCTTATCCGCCTCCTTTCTCCTCCCTATCCTTCCTTTTTGCTCCTTCTCATCCCCTTCCCCTACCTCTCCGCTTCCAAGGCCACGATCAGACCAACCTTCTAGTCATAGCTAGAAGTCATGATCTAGTTGCAATTTTTGGCCGCAACTAGAAGGTCAAGTGGCATTTGGCTACAACTAGAAGGTTGTGTGAGAGGAGGGTAGAGGCAAGGGAGGGAAGGGAAGGGTAGGAGGGAGGGCGAGGAAGGAAGAGAGGAGAAGGGAGGAAGGAAGAGAGGAGAAGGGAGTGATGAATAGTGATCGCGAGGATGGTAGCTAGTATTATTTTCAATTTTTGAAAAATATATAAAAAATTTTAAATTCTAAAAATATTTCAAAATATATTCTTAAAAACACGCTCAAATTCACCCTCAAATACATCCCAAAAACAACTAATCATTTATAATAAAAGTTTTTCACATATAATTGCTATAATAAAATTTTTGAAAAACATCCCAAAAAACACCTAATTCATACGGAGCCTAAGCTTAGGTTTTAAATACGTTGGATTCATTTTTCCATTTGGCATCCATGAGAAGGGATGTAATTTAGAACCATAATTAATTTTATTGCCCGAAATAAGCAAATTAGCAATAGTTCTAAGTTTATCAAAAAGTAAAATAGGATGTGGAAAAGCATAGAAAAATAAATAATAATTTAATAGTGGTGACGCAGTCTTGATGAGATACGTCTGGAGCAACGTTCCAAAAAGTGATTCTCCGGACAAAAGTGCAAGTTGGTCTGAACACTCGACTCTCAAGTAGGCCTGTCAACGGGTCGGGTCCGGGTCGAAATTCATTATTTCAGATCCGGACTCGGCACACTATATCGGATCCGGATTCGATCCATTTATCTTACGGGTTTTTTACTCTATGTTCCGGATCCGGATCTATCCGAAAAAAAACTAACAAAATTTATAATTCCTAATAAAAATGAGAAAAAAACATATATTTATAAACTAATTTCTAACTAATACAAAAAAATCAAATAAAAAAAGAAATCAAATTAACCTTACTCAAATACATCACCTTAATCAAATTATATTGATTAGGATCCGGGTCCAATTATATTGATTACTCAAATAATCATCCTAATCAAATTATATTAATAAATATATATATTTTAAATTATTAATTCATTTATTTCCGGATCTGGGTCCAATACGGGTCGAAATACTATATTCCGTATCCGACCCATTTTTTGTTTGATAAAACAAATCTGGATCCGGGTCCGGGTAACGGAATTAAATCCCTATCCATACCCGGATAAATTTGACGAATCCGGTCCGGGTCCGGGTCTAGACCCGGACTGTTGACAGCCCTACTCTCAAGTGTCCAAATTATTTTTGTCATACACCAAACCACCGGGAATTAATTTAGATTTAGTTTATAGTAACAACTTATTTAATATTATCCTTGTGATGTCACATATGAACTCTTTCAAAACCTCATATTACATCACCCTAATACTTTTTTTATATAATACATATGAAATAAAAATATATTTATAAAACAAGCAAATAAAATTGTGCAAATAATAAACTATCCAAACAATCCATTGTTACTAATTTATACTTTACAGTATTAACTTTTGTTAATTTGTCGACTTTTCAAGGCTTTCGTGACTTGTGATTTAGGATTTGCATAATAATCCCTGGAAAAAAAAATTCTTTTACAGAAAGCCATCATGAAAAATCAAACTTCAGAAGTGAAACAACAACCCTTCTTAATAGTTTAGTTTATAAAGACTGGAGTTTTTTTTTTTATTTTTTTTATCGTCCATGCCAATTTCTTTAGTTTCCAGATATACGTTCCCTTAGAAAAGGAAAATGCAGCTAATTATCAAGAACTACACATGAATGCTCGGCCCTGGAAAAAACTACTACTACATAGGAACTGTGCGTGTGTGTGTGTTTTTTTTGGGGGGTGAGTGGTTGATAAGGAATTTGGAAGATGGACACTTACCAGCACAATCAGTGATAGAAGCACAACCAGCGAGAGAACCTCAGCCCACGTATTGATCTAGGAAAGATAGTTTATTACAGAGAAATATAGGTTTCAAAGGATAAGGCAGAGTGGATTTGAGGAGAAAGATTGCAACTCGAATTTATATAGGAAATCTTAGGGCTTGAAATCTTGACCAATGAGGTTTCAGAAAATCTGAGGAAGATCAGGTAGGAGCTTAGCGAAGAAGAAATACACAGATAAAATGGGACTCATCATATAAGGCCAGAAAATATTCTTGAGGAGTTAAAATAAAAAAAAAAGAAAAAATCAAGCAAAACGTGGCCCCCTGGTACCATTATCGTGTGGCAATTTGGTCTTCGGATTCTCATCCACGAAACCCATTTGGAAGACTTAGGCGGCGTTTGGTAAAAGGGTTTCGGAATGAGGAATTGAAATAAATTCCATGATTCGTGTTTGGTTCACTACTATCGAAATTGAAATTTTGAAATGATATCTAAAAATTTTAGCATTCCACCATTCCTTAGTAAGTTGGTGGGTTTTGTCCAAAACCCAAGTGTGATTCCAAAATCTTATAATTACATAATATTTAGTATAATTAATATTTATATATATTATATATTTATATTATAATATATACTTATATATAATATATTATAATTATAATATTTTATTATAATATTAGTATATTATATAAATATATATTATAATTATTTAGTTAAATATAATTATAATTATATAATATATATGTATATTTATAAATGTATATTATATGTGCATATAATTATAATATATACATGTATATAATATTAATAAATTATATAATTATAATTATATTTATTATTTTAAATATAATAACTATATTTAATATGTAATATACATTATATTTATATAAAATATTAGTACAGTTAATATTTATATATTATATAGTTATAATTATATATTTATATTATAACATTTGTATAATTATAATTAATTATATATAATATTTAATTTAATTAGTTACAAACTTATAATAATGATATTATTATATTATATACTTATATATTATAATTATTTAGTTAAATATAATTATATATTATATATTATATATTATAAATTTATTAATATTATATAATAATATATTTATAATATATATGTATATTTATAAATGTATATTATATGTGCATATAATTATAATATATACATGTATATAATATTAATAAGTTATATAATTGTAATTATACTTATAATTATTATTTTAAAAATAATAATATATAATAATAACTATATTTAATATGTAATATATATTATATTTATATAAAATATTTGTATAATTAATATTTGTATATATTATATAATTATAATTATATATTTATATTATAACATTTGTATATTTATATTTAATTATATATATAATATTTAATTGTTATTATAATGTATATTAATTTATGTAATATAATTGATATTATCAATTATACTAATAATTATACATGTTTACTAATAGAAATTATTAATTAGTTATACTAAATTTACTAATATATTTATATTAATATATTTAATTAGTGAAAATTTCTTATATCCCATTTACAAAGAGCCAATGACTATCATTTACGATGTAGTTTATAATATATTTATTATATTCCATTCTGAAAGAGCTGACGAACCAACATCAACTATAGTAATGATACACATTCCAGGTACTTGAACCAAACAGATGTATTGGAATGAATGACCTTATTCCAAACCCAGGATATCCAATTTCGAATCCGAATCTGATTCCGATGTGCGAACCAAACGCCACCTAAAAGTTTGAATTCGAGTGAATGGACACATATTTATTGGAATGAAATACTGTTGTTTATTTAAAAAAATTTTTGAGTGAAAAACACATATTTTATTTAAATGCTCAGAGGTCCTCTAACATTTTAATTTGCACATATTGCTAATTACTAGAAAGTCTATAAGTACTTAAATGTGAATGTTGACTGAAAACAAGGTATTTTGGTTTTAACTTTACGTGGCAATTATTTCATTTAAAAGAGTTATCCTATATGATAATCTTTAAATGCAATAAAATGTTTTGATTCCTAATGTCCTCAATTTTGTAGTAGGCTTGTACATGAATAGAATGGAATTGACAAGTTTTAGTTTCCTGTAACCGTTATATTATATTTCCTTTTCTTTGGTCATTTACAACTATGCACACCAATAGTAATTTTTCTTTCTTTGAATCTTATTTTACATAATCGCAACCCTTTTAAAGGATCAATTTTGAATTTTGCAATTAATGCATTGATATCAATTAATGTGGATGCAGTTGAATCTTTAAAAATATATAGAAGTAGTCAATAATAATTCTTTCTTTGAGTTCAAAATATTGCATTCAATTTGTTGAATGTTAATTTTATAATTTGAAAATAAAAATTGGATGATATTTCTATTATTTATGAACTCTATATATTTTTAATACATTTTTACTTTAGTATTTTCAAAAAATACCCATGGATGCCCAAATCCATAAGGGTCTGGATATGAATTTACTTTTTGAGACCCAAAAGGGTCTGGATCTGGATCTGGGTCTAACTAAATTAAATGGGTCTGGATTTGGATCAAAGGGATCCAACCCAAACCCTACCCATTGACATACCTAAATATCTCAGAATCATGTGCTGCAGCTACTGTTGCCATGGAAACACCACGAAATTAATATAAAAAAGTTCTATTGGGCTGCAACAAGTAGTACTATAACATGAATACACAATGATAAATATTTCATCCATAATAAACAATTTGAGAAAATGCCATCCATGCATGAAAAAATTCTTAATAAATATGAGATGTAACACGTTTCCATTTAATATTAAAAAATGATTTAATTCTTATTCAAAAATTAATAGTAATTTTTCTTTCTATGAATCTTATTTTACATAATCGCAACCCTTTTAAAGGATCAATTTTGGATTTTGCAATTATGCATTGATATCAATTAGATTTTGAAAGGGCATTTTGTCTCCATATACCCCTATGAGAAAAAAATCCAATTTAAAACTTTGAACTCCAATTCAAGTTAGAATTTACTAAACACCGAACTCAAACTTAGAATCTTCTGAAAATCTAGTTGGTAGCTTGCCCGACCTGTTTAACTCAATAACAAAAGCAATTGGCCATTATATACTACTCGAAAATAAGAATGAATAGTTTTCAACCCATAATAGGAAGCACGGAAAGTAGAGGAGCGTTTTCTTGTACTACAATGAAATTGCAGAGACAGGAAATAGTTCAGAAATTTCTATATGAAATTGCTAATCTCTTGTCCCAATTATAGTAAACTTCGGATACAATTCATAATTGTAAAGAAACTACTAGTAACGCTTCCAATTTTTTCTTAACTTCCAAGTCTATAAAACCTATATATACTAGTTATAAACCAACATAAACTTTTTTCTACTTCTCTCACATCTCCACGGAACTCAAGATTCTGAGAATTATACAACTTTTCTGTGATCGTTCCTTTTTCCTTCCAAAATTTTGAAAAGGGACATTACAATGCTGCCATATGGAACTCAACCACAGATGGTTAGAACATTTGCTTCAAGTAGGATTCTATGAAGACGTTGATACTTGTAGCGTTCAAACCCATCGGTGGAAAACAGTTTTCTGTAAAACATGTATGGATGGGCCAATTTGTGATAAATGTTGTTGGACAAATTCTCACAAAAATCATGATATTCTGCGGGTACGTTTAGTTTTTATTTCAACATGCATGCATGTGTATTTATTTAATTTTTTTTTTGGGTCTGGTTTGGAATAAACTTTTACTTATCATGTATTAGGTTTGCAAAGCGTCTCATCGAGTAGCTGTACCAAAAGAGGATATAACAAAAGATATGGATGTTGATGGCATTCAGCCCTTCAGAATTAACTTCAAATTGATTTTCTTTTTGCATGAAAAACGTAAAAAGTCAGTGCAAAATTGTCCGAAGTGTCAGATATGTCAAGGATATATCAAGGATCCAACTTATAGGTTTTGTTCAATCGCCTGCAAAGTAAGATTTTTTTTCCCCTTTTCTTTTTTGAGATTTATCTTAGGCCTCAATTGTGTTAAATTTACTTATACATAACTTATGTTCATTTATAGGTTAAATCAGTTCAAGGAATCAATGGCGAAGTTGATCTGCAACCAAGTCATGGCCTAGAAGTCCAGCTTCGTCCAATTAGAAGGCATGGGAGAAAAGGAGTACCTCGTAGATCACCACTCAAATAATGGATAGATATTAAGTTTTTATGGTTATTGAACTCTCTAATTTACATGTATTTAGGCAGATCCACTAAAAAAAATATATATTAGTTGCTAATTTTATCTACTATTTTATTGGTTTCGCCCGTTTAAGCACAGGCAGCTTACTTTAAGTCATATTTTGAGTGCTTATTCTAGTCTGGCTAGTCAAGAAATAATACAAATTGCCTTAAATTGCCCTTTGGTTTAGAGTTTCAACGAAAAAACCTCCTTGTGATTTTAAAGTGCCTTTTAGCCTCTTATGTGAAATTGCTATATTCAATTTTTTTGGGTTCAAAATTCAAGAACAACGTATACACCATCAGGATAGAAGAAGATGATGAGTTTGTTTGGAAGACGCCATTGTTTGGGTAGGAAGGACTAGACGTTTGCACGTGCAACCTTTTGGGGTGAATTTCATGATTTAGATTTGGCCAAAATTGTGAACTTTGAGAATGTGCATTCCCAATTTCCGGGTTCCAGATTTTAAAGTTTTGATGTAATCGTGAGTTTTACACTAATTCAATGATAATTCATGTTTATATCAAAATTATTCCGGTTTATATCGAAAACTGGACAGAATTGAAATGGGAGAGGTCCCATCTCTCCCAATTTTCATGCGATAGTTGGAGGTCCTTAAAGTGGTTTTCTTCATTCATACGTACACATTGGTAAAATTATTGTTTGTGTGCAATGGCCATGGCGGCCATTAAACATGGTTGGGTACTATTATCACCAACAATTGTTCATGTACCACATTCGAGTAAGATACATGGGGATGTTGGCTTATGAAATTGTTTGAAAGTACGGATTGAGGCAATTGAGGGGCATGGTTGGCTAAGAATGTCATATTCTCACAGCTAGCCTGTTTAGCTATCTTTATTGTTCTCATTTGCATCACAGAAAGCAGTGGCGGATTTAAGGTGGGGCACGGGCCCCACTCCCCCTTTAAATTCCTATAATACTTATA